GAACAAAGCCTATAGTTCACATAATAAATAATAGGTTAGCATCCAAATACTTCGTGAATATAGAAACATTTGGATTCGTGCAGAATGAGAGAGGTAGGCTTCAGTTTCATTTTAAAATTAATTCGTTTTGGCTTGACGCTTATATTTAGCCTAAATACAACTTTAGAGGATTTGTTGTGGAGAGAAGAGAATTAAAATAGCCTAATTGTGTTTGCAATTATGCTTTTATTTACAATTATTTTAGCCTACATTATTTCTGGATGTAATAATAAAATGCAACTTACAGCCTACTAATTTAGGCTGTTTTTTTTCTCTCAAAACTCTTATAGGAGTAGCGTTTTTTTTTTATCCATGCTGAAACATTTTTAAATATCTTGAAAAAAATTATTTAATGTTTTTATTGCGTTGACAGTTTTTTTCTTTTGTTGAATACATTTGGTCTTTGGTAAATCTAGAAAAGCTGATGCTGTATTGGCTATGACTAAGAGAGATCATTCAAGACTCTCTTCATGATTTTTTTTTCTTTTTGAGTAAATTAAATGCTGTACTTTATTATTATTATTATTATTATTGGCAAAGAAAAAGTTTAAAAAAAATAACGTTATTAACCGGTATGTTTTCTACTCAAACCGGTTTCACAGAGGAATGCAGGAACGGAAACTTTCAAATACCGATTCTGCTCGGAGTGAACCAATCTTTTTTTTTTTTTTTTTCGTTTTTAAGCCCTGCTTTATGCAATTGACCAATATCGGTATAGGCATCAGAATTGGCCAATAGTTGTTTGTTAAAATCAGTATCGGCCAAAAGAAATCCTATCGGTGCATCCCTAGTTTTTATTATATGGCTATATTTAATTTTAATTTTTACAGTTTTAGTTATAACTGTACCAATTATAGTCAGTGAATCAGGAACTAACAATTGCTAAAATAAGCTAAATCTCAAAGGTTTCTTGATAGCTTTGTTCCATTTTTGAGTTTTCTAGTTGCTTCCATTAATTTGATTTCAGTTTACGAAAATATATTTTGAAATCTTAGTATACAGTATGATAAGCCTGACACAAACATTCCAGTGTGTGTGTAGACTGTGCACATCTGTATAGTAAACAGATCTGTTCCATCTGTATTAAAAGATATCTTTGATATCTGGTGTCAAGAAGGGCAGCAAAGAAGCCACTTCTCTCCAAGAAAAACGTCAAGCACAGACTAAAATTCTGCAGGAAGTACAAGGATTGGACAGAAGAAGACTGGTGCAAAGTTATTTTCTCTGATGAAGCTCCCTTCCGACTGTTTGGGAAATTGGGACATCTGGAAAATCGATTGTTCGGAGAAGAAAAGGTGAACGCTACCACGAGTCCTGTGTTGTGCCAACAATGAAGTATCCTGAGATCATCCATGTGTGGGGTTGCTTTTCAACCCAGGGAGTGGGCTCTCTCATAATTCTGCCCAAAAACACTGGCATGAATGGTATCAAAAACGTCCTGCAAAAGCGACTTCTTCCAACGATCCATGAGCAATTTGGTGATGATCCGTGCATTTTCCAGCTTGATGAAGCACCATGTCACAAAGCAAGAGTGATAAAGAAGTGGCTCGAAGATCATTACACTGAAATTTTGGATCCGTGGCCAGGCAACTCTCCGGATCTCAATCCCATAGAGAACCTGTGGTCAGTCCTCAAAAGGCGAGTGGACAAGCAGAAGCCCACAAATTGTGATCAACTCCGAGAACTAATAAGGCAAGAATGGATCGCCATCAGTCAGGATTTGGCCCAGAATCTAATATCCAGCATGCAAAAGCGAATTGCAGAAGTTATGAAGAACAAGGGTCAACACTGTAAATATTGACTCAATATATTTTTTTGCCAATAAAAGCCTTTAAAACTTATGATATGCTTATCACTGTTTTTCAGTATACCATAGAAACGTGGAATGCCGGCTCAACATCGTGATATCTATCAGCCATTGGTGATGGACGATGGCATCATCTATCGGCCCAACCCTAATATATGTGACCCTGCACCACAAAACCATTCTTAAGTGTCAATTTTTTGAAATTGAGATTTATATATCATCTGAAAGCTGAATAAATAAAATTTCCATTGATATATGGTTTGTTAGGATAGGACAATATTTACACACACACACACATACATATATATATATATATATATATATATATACACACATATATTCCTGTTTTAAATGAGTGAGGTACTACCGTTTTATATCCAAACATTTTTATGAAGCTGACCTACGAGCATATACGCAAACCAAAAGCATCACACATACATGTGTGATGTGTGTACATAACTGCCATCTTTAAATGAAGTAAACGTAAACCTACTCTTTAAATGGGATATTTCAGAAAAGTCAGATAAGATCAAATCGAAATAAGACATAACTGCCATCTTTAAATGATAAAGTAAACGTAAACCTACTCTTTAAATGGGATATTTCAGAAAAGCCAGATGAGATCAAATCGAAATAAGACCGAGATAAGAACGAAAATTGACAATCAATCCATCAACACGTACATGACTCAAATCTGTCCTTGCTTAATGCGCAGAGTTACAATCTAGCTCTATATGATAAATATTATCTTTGAGAGATTATCTCTAATTGATCAACACTGTTATAGCATTACAAGGATGATGTGTCTAAAATCCACGTCTGTCAGTTAGCAACAGCGCGGAAAAGTCCAACCTCGCCCTGTCTCCATTTAATCCTGCCTTGAATCTACAGCAGGATCCGTATTTAAACTTTAACATAGCTCCATATCAATAAACGCAATCACACAGAGACAGATGTACTAAAAAGGGTCATTTGTCAAACTACTCACTCGGTTTATTATCGCTGAAGTGGTTCGGTTCAGCCCATCTCCTGCTCGTGTCCCCGTACACAAACTTCACGAGTGTTTTTCCTGCAGGAGCGGAAGTGGCTGTATACGTCACTGCGTCATGTTAAATGTGTCTGCTTTTTTCTCTTTCGGTTCTCTCATTTTCATTCTTTCATATAAGCACTTTTAAAATAGTAATTTTTATATTTTTGTCCTGTTCCTTACGTTGAATAATAAGCAGAGAATCAGGTACGTGGCCCACCTTATAAGTTTCAAACAGTTTCATCAGTATAAAATGAAATATTACAAAAAATATTATAATAATAATAGGCCTAATAATAATGAATAAAATAAAATAAAAATCGTGTATTTACTAAAATAAGTGATTTGTAAAGAAAAAAATAGTAATAATAGGTTATTAGTCCCAATGGTAATCAAAAATAAATTAAACAAAATGTCTGATCATATTTATTTAGTACCATTGTTTATTTCCTTTGATGCTAACTATTAATTAATTAATAATTAATGCACTGATTCTTGAAACATGGAACAAAACAGTCTAGTAGATTAATCTTTGTTAATTTATAGTATACACATGTTACACATGCATTAAATGCAAAAGCCGTTTTGGATTGCTAGGACCTACGTAAAATTATGAGGAAAACAGTGATTACACAGATCTACAGGTGAACTTGACTCCCTGGAGACAGATATGAACAGGATAAGCATAACAAAATTTCGGTATTCAGAATGCCTGTTCGCAATTCTTTGAATTTAGAGAATTAATAGTCTTCCATGTTCATATGTGTTTCCAAACTGTATAATATGATGTACACAATATTTAATCAAAACATTTATGTGCTGACACTCTGTCTTAGATCTAATAGCCTACCAGGAACATATTTAATTATAAACACAAAAATTGGTTGAAATAGGTCTGGGCACACAGGGAAGTGCAGCTATAGGTAATTTGGGCCACATCATCTATGAAAATTTGCATCAGACTTTATCAGTCAGTTGACAACAGGATCTATTTTACAACAGTCAGCTGTGTGTTTTCCATCCTTTTACATTTATGTTCTTGCCGAGTGCATTTTCTTTTACCAGTGTCTATGGTTGTATAAACGTTGATGAGGTGCCCTTCAGAAGTTTTGAAACTGTTTTTCTCATGGGTCTGGTTTTGGGTATGTGGCCATGGAAACAAATATTAGTAAAAGTCCAAGTTGTTTTATATGTTTTACTATTTTATATACTGATTTATATATTTTATATTTCAAATGAAATTGATAGTCTGAAATCTTGGATTTTTAAAGTGACCTTGAGATTTAGAAAGATGCTATATATATATATATATATATATATATATATATATATATATATATATGTCATTTTAAAAAACTAAAAACTAAAATGTAATTGAGTGCAAATATTCAAGTCTCAATAATAGGCATATTTAAGTAGCTTTAATACCCCAAAACAATACTAATTATTATACAATCCTTTCATTATTATGATTATTATACACTATATATATATATATATGCAAAATAGATTTGTTTATAAGACCCAATTGTATTATACTCCAGCCATGCTTAGTGTGAGTAAATGATTACACTGCTAAAAAATGAAGAACACCTAATGTCTGCAGGGAGTCTAGGGCCACCAATGACGAGTATGCTATTGTTATATAGCTGTATTTTTCATTTACGTCTCTTTGTGTATGATGACTTTTATGTGTATCCTGATATGAGCTCCTCATTCTCACAACTCTCACAGTGTCTTGACCATAGCATGTATACAAATGACATGTTTTCAAATTCCCATTCCCAAATCCAAATGCCATAAGGAATGGGAAACATCAATGAGATTTCAGTACTATTCAAATTAAATGGAATATGTGTGCAAATATTTAATTAGCCTTTACTTTCACCAGTCTATGATCATTAGGCTATCTCAAACAACTGTGTCAACAAGTATATCCATACACTTATAAAGAAAAGAGTTGTAAAACACATCCAGCTGTCTTTTCCACAGTTATGCTGCTCTATAGCTTTTTTTCATCAGATGATCCAGGATATTGATGTGTCATAAGGAAATCCTTCTTAGGCTGGTTTTGACTATATAAGTGATGATTGAAAGTTTGAAGACACACTGGATCAGAGGAGAAAG